AAGTCGTACAGTGTCTCAGAACACCAGGTAGTGAGGGGTAGCTCAAACTCCTCGGACCACAAGCTCTTCACCAGCATACAGGAACTTTCCCTTCTCACTGAAGCTTGAACAAAGAAGTGATTTTCAAAATGTGCAGACACCCGCACTTCCACAGATCACCGCCCCCGCGGCCCGGCCTGAGACCAGTTCCACAGATCACCGCCCCCGCGGCCCGGCCTGAGACCAGTTCCACAGATCACCGCCCCCGCGGCCCGGCCTGAGACCAGTTCCACAGATCACCGCCCCCGCGGCCCGGCCTGAGACCAGTTCCACAGATCACCGCCCCCGCGGCCCGGCCTGAGACCAGTTCCACAGATCACCGCCCCCGCGGCCCGGCCTGAGACCAGTTCCACAGATCACCGCCCACGCGGCCCGGCCTGAGACCAGTTCCACGGATCACCGCCCCCGCGGCCCGGCCTGAGACCAGTTCCACGGATCACCGCCCCCGCGGCCCGGCCTGAGACCAGTTCCACGGATCACCGCCCCCGCGGCCCGGCCTGAGACCAGTTCCACGGATCACCGCCCCCGCGACCCGGCCTGAGACCAGTTCCACGGATCACCGCCCCCGCGGCCCTGCCTGAGACCAGTTCCACGGATCACCGCCCCCGCGGCCCGGCCTGAGACCAGTTCCACGGATCACCGCCCCCGCGGCCTGGCCTGAGACCAGTTCCACAGATCACCGCCCCCGCGGCCCGGCCTGAGAGCAGTTCCACAGATCACCGCCCCCGCGGCCCGGCCTGAGAGCAGTTCCACAGATCACCGCCCCCGCGGCCCGGCCTGAGAGCAGTTCCACAGATCACCGCCCCCGCGGCCCGGCCTGAGAGCAGTTCCACAGATCACCGCCCCCGCGGCCCGGCCTGAGACCAGTTCCACAGATCACCGCCCCCGCGGCCCGGCCTGAGAGCACTTCCACAGATCACCGCCCCCGCGGCCCGGCCTGAGAGCAGTTCCACAGATCACCGCCCCCGCGGCCCGGCCTGAGACCAGTTCCACAGATCACCGCCCCCGCGGCCCGGCCTGAGAGCAGTTCCACAGATCACCGCCCCCGCGGCCCGGCCTGAGAGCAGTTCCACAGATCACCGCCCCACACGGCCTCCCTGAGAGCAGTTCCACAGATCACGCCCCCGTGGCCGCTGAGAGCAGTCCACAGATCACCGCCCCCCGCCCGCCTGGAGCATTCCACCAGATCACACGCCCCCCGGCAGCCTGTAGACCAGTCCACAGACAACCGCCCCGCGCTCAGCCTGAAGCATTCCACAATCACCGCACCCGGCACCGGCCTGAGACCATCACAGATACACCACGCAGCCCGCTAACCAGTTCCACAGATCACCGCCCCCGAGCCCGGCCTAGAGCATTCCACAATCACCCCCCCGGCCCGCCTAGAGCAGTTCCACAACACCGCCCCCGAGCCCGTCCTGAGAGCAGTTACACAGATCACGCCCCCGCGCCCGCCGAGAGCAGTAACACAGATCACCCCGCCCGCCTGAGAGCAGTTACACAAATCACCCCCCGCCCGCTGAGAGCAATTACCCAACGAGAACACCTGCAACAGCATATACCCATAAAGTATATATAATACCATCATTAGAACAACCCCCAGCTCCACCCACACAACACAAGCATCACCACAACCAGTAACACAAGCATCACCACAACCAGTAACACAAGCATCACCACAACCAGTAACACTAGCATCACCACAACCAGTAACACAAGCATCACCACAACCAGTAACACAGCATCACCACAACCATAACACAGCATCACTACAACCAGTAACACTATCATCACCACAACCAGTAACACAAGCATCACCACAACCAGTAACACTAGCATCACTACAACCAGTAACACTATCATCACCACAACCAGTAACACAACATCACCACAACCAGTAACACAACATCACTCACAACCAGTAACACAATCACCCACACCATAACACAAGCATCACCACAACCAGTAACACAAGCATCACCACAACCAGTACACTAGCATCAGCACAACCAGAACAGCACACACAACCATAACACAGCAGCACAACCAGTAACACACACACCACAACCATAACACAAGCATCACACAACCAAACACAAGCATCACCACACCAATAACACAAGCATCACCACAACCATACACAAGCATCACCCACCGTACACAAGCATCACCACACCAGTAACACAAGCACACCACAACCATAACACAAGCATCACCACAACCAGTAACACAAGCCTCACCACAACCATAACCACAAGCATCATAACCATAACATAGCGTCACCACCACCACAACCACGCGTATCCCCACCAGAACCACCACAACAACCAGCACATCACCAACACCAGAACCACCACAACAACCAGCAGCATCACCAGCACCACCACAATAACCAGCAGCATCACCAACACCAGAACCACCACAACAACCAGCAGCATCACCAGCACCACCACAACAACCAGCAGCATCACCAGAACCACCACAACAACCAGCAGCATCACCAGCACCAGGACCACCACAACAACCAGCAGCATCACCAGCACCAGAACCGCCACCACAACAACCATTAGCACCAGAACCACCACAACAACAACCAGCACCAGAACCATCACAATAACCAGCATCAGAACCGCAATCACCAGTATCACCAGCACCTGAACTACCACAACTACCAGCAACAACTCCACCACCAATAACCAACAGCAGTAGCAACATGAGTCACGCCTGCTGGTGAAAGTGAGGTGGGTCCCAGGTACTGCTACTTCACACACTGTTACTTTCAACCCCCAAACTGCAGAGGAAGTTACGGGGGAGGGAGGGGTGAGGGGCCAGCTGTCTTACACAATACACGTTGTTGGTCACCAGTAAACAAGTAACCAGCTGTCTTACATAACACAGCTACACAATACCTGCTGCTGGTCATCAGTAAACAAGTAACCAGCTGTCTTACATAACACAGCTACACAATACCTGCTGCTGGTCATCAGTAAACAAGTAGCCAGCTGTCTTACATAACACAGCTACACAACACCTGCTGCTGGTCATCAGTAAACAAGTAGCCAGCTGTCTTACATAACACAGCTACACAACACCTGCTGCCGGTCACCAGTAAACACGTAGCCAGCTGTCTTACATAACACAGCTATACAACACCTGCTGCTGGTCACCAATAAACAAGTAGCCAGCTGTCTTACATAGCACAGCTACACAACACCTGCTGCTGGTCATCAGTAAACAAGTAGCCAACTGTCTTACATAACACAGCTACACAACACCTGCTGCTGGTCATCAGTAAACAAGTAGCCAGCTGTCTTACATAACACAGCTACACAACACCTGCTGCTGGTCACCAGTAAACAAGTAGCCAACTGTCTTACATAACACAGCTACACAACACCTGCTGCTGGTCATCAGTAAACAAGTAGCCAGCTGTCTTACATAACACAGCTACACAACACCTGCTGCTGGTCACCAGTAAACGCATTCAGCTGTCTGACAACAATATGATGTTTAAGGAGGACAAGTTTCAATTACTCCGCTATGAAAGACTGAAGGAGATAAAATAACAGAGTATAGGACAACCCCAAATCATTCAATAGAGTGAAAGTCCCATGTGCCAGACTTTGGAGTAATCATACCGAATATCTCGCATTCAAGAATCACAACAATGTTGCCACTGCTATAGCAAGAAAAATAATAGGTTGTGTTTCTAGAACTTTCAAGACAAGACATGCTGAGCCAATGATATTCTTCAAGTTATTTGTTTTCTCCGGACTGAAATACTGCTCAATACTGATGGCCCTCTTCAAGGCAAGCGAGATTGCTGAGCTGGAAAATGTACAGAGAACTTTCACTGTTCGTATACACTCAGCCAAGCATCTGTAGTACTGGGAATTCTTGAAGTCCTTTCAACTGTATCCCTTGGAACGCAGGCAAGAAAGATACATAATTTACATCTGCGGGATTAGTCCCAAACCTGAACATTGAAATCACTCAGCAAAACAAGAGAATTGACAAACCGTGCAAAATACCTTCACTAAAAGCAGGAGCACGACAAGTACACAAAGAGAGAACTCGATGAGTGTCAGAGGTCCCCGACTCTTCTACGCCTTCTGCCCGTGCCTTCGTGGAAACACCACGAGCCTATGTCGTTTTCAAGAAGGAACAAGACTAATTCCTCAAGTGAATGCTTGACCAGCTGGGCTGCGTTTCATATGTTAGGATACATGAGGCCAGCAGTAACAGCCTGGATAATCAGACCTTGATTCTCCAGGAAGGTTGGTCTGGGACCGGGCCGCAGGGAAACCGACCCCCCCCCCCCGAAACGTTATGCAGGTATCCCCCAGGTAACACAGCTATGCAACACCTGCTGCTGGTCACTAGTAAACAAGTAAACAATACCCACAACACCTGCTGCAGAAGATGATCGTATAGAGTAGAGTAGCCAAAACCTAGAGGTTTCCAGCCTTCATAAAACACAACACTCCTTATGTTCCTGTCAAAATACGAACACTTACCATTGTTCTTACGCACAGAACAATGACAAACACATCCAGCGACAGTCATCGCGTACCCAGTAATTACTTATGCCCTTCTAAAAGAAAAAGAAAAGTAATACATAACAGTGAGATCTTGAAAGGAGCAAAAATGTCTAGTCACTCATTTTGCATTCGTCGTATTTGTATGTGGTGGTCGAGTCTTGGTCCTGCCTCTTGTTTCATCAACCTGTATTATTGTGATTCTGGGTCCTAGCTCAGTAGCAGGGTTGCTCTTAATACTATGTGTGCACTTTGTCTCCACCACTTCCATACTACACAGTGTATTCTGTGTGTAGCATCAAGTAGTACAGGAACAAATAGTGAGTGTGTGTAGAGTTAGTTAGCGTGGGTGTATACATAGGTGTAGCATAACATGGTACAGGAAGACATAGTGAGAGTTACAGTAAGTGTGGGTGTACTCACAGGTGTAGCATCACGTCGTACAGGAAGACACCGTCGGCCAGAGCTGCATACGTCAGTCCACCGCCACCGTCGCTCTCGAACGTCCGCACCTGCAGGGCAAGACCACTCAGTAAACAAAGATCATGACGCATATTCTGAGGGTAGGAAGAAGGGAAGAGGAAAGAGTAGAGGAAAGAGAATATTTCAGTGAGTACACACACCACCAGTCACAGTGTTTACTCTCTCATTGGTGTTTGCCAGGGTCAGGTCTCAGTCATTGGCCCTGCCCACAAACTACGTCGACTGACATTACAGGTTTCAAAACTTTTGTGTGTTGCCACATCTACTCTTGAACAAGGCATAGTGTCTCCACCTCGCCCTCATCCACCTCATTCCATTTATCTACCAGCCTGAGAATAAAGAATTATTTCAAGAAGTTACTTTCTCTCCGCCCTATCAGTTCTTCATATATTATAATCACGTATACTCTAGCTCTCCTCCTTCAGCATCTGGTAGCCTTCCTTTAGTTTCTCTCCATGGTGCATGCGTGTAATTAATCACTGGTAATTACTTATGTAACTGACGACGGTTCTCGAGATCATCTTCCCAGAAGCCGGCTCAGACCAACTGCTAGTACTCACGACACGCAGACTAACGTTAAGCACCACAAAACAATGAAACCTCACAACACAGTACTGAGGACAGAGTAGAACAACTGTGCGAGTCCATAACCAAGAAATTCAAGAAGTCGCTAGAGACTGGACAACTACCCGGCAGTTGGAAGTTGGTTAATGTAGACTACATTTAGGAAGGCAGGCGACGCTGAACTACAAACCGGTATCAGTAAAGAACATAATTCTTAAAAAGGGATTTTCAGGATAAGTCTATCTAACGAAACTACTGTAGTTATATGACAGTTGCCAAAAAACAAGAGATAGGAATGGGTGGAATGCATTTTCCTTCATTGCAAGGAAGTATTTAACACAGTTTACTACTACCGGATACAAATCTACGAGCAAGAAAATCAAACGGGAAAACCCTAAAGTTTACCAAGGAGCAGATGAAATGCAAGAATAATTGTGATGGTATGGGAGGAAGCGAGACCGGAAACGGAACTTTAATAAGCTACAAAAATTGACAAACATAACAAGTATTTGGTAATGAATCACAGCGACCACAGCGCTGGAAAAACACATCAGTCAACTGACTCTGGCAACCTGCAACAATCTTTGGTATTCTGCACATAATGTAAGGCCCACATGAGAATACGCAGCACCAGCGTGGAACCCTTGCCTGAAAAAATATATATTCAGAGCCTTGAAAAGATCTAAAGCTCTGCAGTCAGACTAATTCCCAATGAAGAGTGTGCAATAAAAGTCCTAAACCTAACCTGCAGTGCTGGGAACATCAACACGGGAACATAAGGAAGCTATCGCCACGAATAAATCACAGGAATGTTAGAACAACATTTTTGAGACTCCGGGTAAGTAGAGAGGTGGAATGAAGTGTACCTGAGAAACAGACACTGTACAATTTCAAGAGTAGGTACGATATGGCACACTAGGCCAGAAACCAATAATACCGTGTGTTAATGAGGTGGGGACCACAAGTCTAGATTCGACCTCAATAAACAGAAATCTGCCAGTACAAATCTTTGTCTACAAATCTGAGTACAAATCAACGAGTACAAATCTGCGAGTATAAATCGTTGAGTAGACGTGGAGGCACGCACGAGCAAGCGTGCATTATAGCAGAGACATGCAAGCAAGCACCACAGCCACTCAGCTGTTCCCCTAACAAACATGAGGCATGTTTTATTTACGGTAACAATACCACTGTTCCCCCCCCCCCACCTCCCTTCTTGGTGGTACCCTCCTCCACCAACAGCGGAAACGGTAGCAGCAAAATGCAGCAGCGACAAAAATAACAGCACCAGCAAAAACAGCAACAGCAACAACGGCGGCGGCAACAGCACTAGAAACAGCGGTGGCAGCAACAGCATCATGACTTCTGAGTGGAGGGAAGGAAGAGAGAGTCCTTAGTGATGGAGGTAGAAGCAAGTTACCTAGGAGGAAGAGAGTGAAACAATATATGCAGCAGAGTTGTAACCAACCACCCTTACCCGATGACCCAGTTCTCATTTTCACGTGTACACACATCCATACACACGTCTCCACACGTGCGTACACACACGCGCGCGCGCGCGCTCGAAAATACATGTGTGCACACACGTGTAACACTGACGGTCAGAAACCACTGGAGACTAGAGGAATTAGGACACCTGAAAATGTGATCTGAGATACTATACAGTAGGTTCCGTAATGTCCGGAGAGACGAGAGTAATTGTGGCAGTGATATATAATCCACCACCCAACAATAATGTTAACAGTCTATTACTTGTGTGGTTTATGTTCTAGAAACATTTATAGTCAGGCTCCTTGGCCAGGCCTTGTCACGTGACCCCCGTTTAAACCGACACACCTAGGCCGTAGCCCTCGCTCACATTCTCGTGCAGGCTTACCAGACGGACAGGCTGAGCTCCGCCACGATTACCAATACAAGGCCTCAATAAGTCTACAGTTGTCTCCTTTGTTACCATCGCTCATCCAACGAGCCCCATAACAATAAGACGCCAAGGAAGTAGCATGATCACGAAAAAAGAATTTGCTAGAAACAGTGAGAGCAAGAAGGAAAGCTAAACTCCTAGTACTAAATTTCAACCATGAGGATTTGGGCTGGAAAAACTCGGAGGCCCACGGTAGACTAGAAACATGGAGAGTAAAACTTATGGAAGCAGTGATGAAGAATATTGTGATTCATTGTTTAGGAAACAAGAGGGGCGATGAACCGACGAGACTCGATGGGGCTTTCACACAAGATGAATAAGACATAGGTAAACTGGGGAGTCATTAGGTGCCAGCAATCGTATGGTACTAAGTTTTGAATACCTGGAAGTAATGGGGATAGAGAAAGAAATGAAGGAACAGAAAATAAGACTACAGAAGGGGAGGACCATGATGGTATGAGAAACTTTTTTGAGAAGCACAATGAGGAAAAAACTTAAGAGAAATTCTGTGCAAGAAAGGATGGAAATAACAAAGTCAAAGATGCCAACAGACAAAGGAAAGATTCATAGCAAGCTTGAAAAAAATAAACAAGAAACAGAATAAAAAGAAAGAGCACATGATTTAATTATGAATGCAGAGGACAAAAGAAGGTGCAAGGAGGCCTTGAAGAAATATGAAGCAAATCAAACTGCAGAAAACCCATAAACAAGCTAGAGCTAGAAATAGAAAAATGTAAGAACATAAAGCCGAAAAGGAACTTTTGAAAATGATACAGTATCAGATGATAAAACAACAAAGGTTACTAAACAGCCACACGGGAAAAAGAGAAGACTGAAGGATCGAGTGATATGGCTATAAGAGGGAGGGAAGTTAGTTAAGAATGACAGAAGTACGCGGAGAGCTTAGCAAAAAGATTAAAAGAGATCGTCATATTAGAAACAAACTAGAAAGTATTAACACAGCAAAATAACAAGTGATGAAACCACATAACGAACTTTGGAGTACACAACATGGGTGCTGAGGAAAGGAACAGAATTACTCTGATCCATCAGTAATGATATTCAAACCAATCTCACCTACCGTCAGTGGTCAGTGGTCAGTCGTCACGTGAGGTCACAGACCCTGAGCTGCTTTGGGGATTAGCGTGGACGGTTACAAAGCATGGCTTGCTTCTGCAGTGTTTTAAAAATTGAGGTTGGAGAGTTGAAGGAGGAGGTCTTGCTTCTCCAGGAGGAGATTAGGAGGCTGAAGGTCCACCTCAATGGGTCTGGGAGAGAGTGTGAGGTGGCTGGAGTTGTGGGGAATGAGGCTTCTAGCAGTGAGGTGCAGTCTGTCTCTCGCTGTGAGGAGGCTGTAGTGGGGGAGGTAGCAACGGCTACCAGCAGTGAGGTGCAGCCCAGCACCTGCTACAAGTGGCGAGTGGTTCACAGTAATGGGAGGCGCATCAGAGTAAGGAAAGTTAAGAGTGAAGATCTGAAGGTAGGAAATCGCTTCTCTGTTCTTCAGGATGAATGTACTTCAGTGGCCAGTGAAGGTAAGGGTACTACTGCCCCTGCTAATGGAGGTAAGTGCATTCTTGTGGTTGGTGACTCTCAGGTAAGATATATTGACCGTGCTTTTTGTAATAGGAACAAGAAGATGAGAGATAGAGTGTGCTTCCCTGGAGCTGGTGTTGGGGACATTGTCAATAGGCTGGATAATATCATGTCAGGTAATGGGAACAAGCCCATTATCTGTCTCAGTGCTGGTGGAAATGATATTGGGAAGGGTAGGAGAGAAGAGCTGCTAGATAAGTACAGGTCAGCTATAGATTTCATTAAGTCTAAGGGAGGGATCCCAATCATATGTAGCATCTTGCCTAGAAGGGGAGTAGGAAATAAATGGTTGTCTAGGGCAATTGGTGTAAATTGCTGGCTAGACAGATACTGCAAGGAACTTACAATCCCATTCATTGACAACTGGAACAACTTTTATGGCAAACATATGTATGCAAAGGATGGGGTACATCTCTCTGGGGCAGGGGTGGTAGCACTTGCAGACTCGATTGAGAAGGCCATTGGTGAAATGCCCATGATTTTAAACTGATGGAAGATAGAGGTATGGGTGTGTGTGGGAAACAAGCAGGTTGCAACACTAGGGTTGGAAACAGTAAATGTATAAAAGGCATTCAGCATGAAGTTATAAATAAAGACAATAGATCAGGTCAGCAAACAAAGGGGGACAGCAGAGGGCAGCAAGGGACTAACTCCCTTAAGGTTTACTATACTAATAGCAGGAGTGTAAGAAATAAGATAGATGAGCTAAGATTAATTGCAAGTGCAGGAAACATAGATATTATTGCTATAACAGAGACCTGGCTCAATCTGAAAGATAGAGAGATGCCCTCTGAATGTCACATACAAGGCTATAAATTATTCCACACTGACAGGGTCAACAGGAAAGGTGGTGGAGTAGCGATGTATGTCAGAGACAATTTAAATTGTTGTGTTGGACAAGATATTAAATTAGAAGCGTCAGCCACTGAATCTGTTTGGTTACAGCTT